CCTGTGGCAAAAACCTTAAAAAAAAAATACACAGGTTAGTTAATTAACTATTTTATTATTATTAATCTACAAGGCAGAAGTTTAAAAACCTGGCTCAACAGATAAGGATTAAGGGCTAGGAAAGCAACTCCCTGAAACTGTGGGAGGAAATACTGTGAATGCATCCTTAATTTCTTCTGGGTCCACAGTTTTTATATGGTTCTAAAAGGGGTTCATAAATTAATTCTGTGGTAGCTACTAGGATAATGAGTAAACAAAGCAGACAGACATTAATCAAATAATGACTAAATGATTATAAACTATGTGATTATACACTACAGGAAGAGTAATGGATAACAAGCATGAAGAATTATAAAGCATTTAACAGGAATACTGAAACTAATCTAAGGAGGTCTGACGAAGCTCCTCTGAAGACTTCCTTGAGTCATTTGATACTTGAGTTGAAATCTGAAGTGCCTTAGAAAAAAGGAGACCAGCAGGCCAGGTAACTTAAAGGTGTGTATAAGGCCCTGGGGGAGAGTGAGCATGAGGTTGCCCAGGAATTGAAGGAAGCCTAGAGCCTGAAAGCACAATAGCTAGGTCAAAGGAATCATTACATTAGATGATACTGGAGAGGAAGGCAGAGGCCAGACAGCTGAGCTTGAGGCTGTGATAAAGACTTTGGTCTTGTCTAAGAGCTCTGGGAAATAATAAAAAGGCCTTCATACTGGAGGCTGACAATATTTGATTTGTGCTTTTCAAAATACCCTGCTTAGGGGTAATTTACAGAATAAATGAGGAAGAAAGGAAATGGAAGTAAGGACGGAGAGAATGTTATTTCATTAGCTGGAAAAAGCATCTAAGCCATCATGGATGACTGCTATAATAGTAGGTGTGTGGATTCAAGACACTTGGGAGTGAGGGGGAATGAGTGCTGGATTTCGTGACAGACTGGATTTGTTAATAGAAGGGGAATGTCCAAGATGATTCATATATCTCAGCTGAAGTCAGTGAGAGGGTGGAAGGACCAGAACTAAAAGGCCAGAGTATTTTGTTTTGTTTAAGATGTTTTTTTGGCATCAGGCGGGTGCTCTTGCTGGAAAGAGAGAGACAGAGACAGAGCAAGAGAGAGAGAGAGACAGAGACAGTGAGAGGGAGAGTGAGAAGTCACACACACACACACACCCTCGAGAGGCGATGGTCATGCTCAATCCCTTCTCCTCCATTCTGCTCCTGGTACCTTGAACACGGATGCACATGCATTCAGCACGATTTTAAGCCACCAGGTCTGGGACTAGAACCACGGTCAGCCATGTGGGAATCCAGTGACATAAGTACTGTGGTATATGCTGGTCCTGGTCACAGTGGTTTTGGTATATTGTTTTTTTGGGGGGTAAGTCACATGTTATGGGAGAATTAAAAAGAGCTTCTTGAACTAATATACAAAACATTCCAGCAACAGCACTTAAAGGAGATATATTTTGGGATATTTTACTTTTTAAAAAATCCCAGCAATAAAGTTTTAGAAATTTCTAAAAAAGACTTATTTTAAAATATTTTCTCTATATTAACACAATTAGACATAATAAAATTTTGGAAGGACTTAGTAATGAATAAACAGCTTTGGAATATTTCAATTGGTAACTGATATTCACCAAGAAAGTAAATTAACTATCAACTGTAAATATCAAGAAACTAATAATTAACACAAGAAAAATCCCAAATATAAATTTCTAGAAACTAACAATTAAAACAAGAAAATCCCAATAGCAAAATACATATTTACAATATGGCCCCTTGAAAATAAGATAACGTCTAATAATTAAATCCAATATGAAATTTCTGAAATGTCAAGTGATGAACTCTAACTAGGTACATCTTGTCTTATTTGACAAAATAATTATTTAAAATATATATATTTTAGTTTGCCATAGGTTGCATGCACTTGCCAGAGAGACAGAGACAAAGAGACACTGGAAAAGAGAGTGAGGAATTACCTCTTGAGGGGATGGCCATGGTACAATCTCTTCTCCTCCATTTTCTTCTCAGGATTTTGGGCAGACATGCACACACACCTGGCATGATATTTGAGCCACCAGGTCTGGAACCCAAACCGTGGTGGGACATGGGAGAGTCTATCACCTCAACCACCATGCAATGGCTGGCCCCAATATCTCTCCATTTAGAAAGATAAAATAGCCTTTAACTTGTAAAATGTAATTGGTATATCTATACCTTTTGAAGCTAAACTAAATGATACTTGATTTATATCAAATACCACAATAATAAACAACATAATCTAGAACACAGGTCATATTGTTTAACAGGATTATTTCAAAATACGCATTGTTAAAGGAGTTCTGATTTTTTAAAATTGTCCATATTAATTTTCCCTTTAAAAAATGCCTTTTCTCCCCCCTTAAGAGATACAAAATTATTTTTGTAAAGTTTGACTTGAATATAAAAGCAGCAACATTTTAAATATTAATATGTTTTTTAAATGAATGTTACCTTTTGGAAAGTATCTTACTGACAAAAATATTTCTATTTGATTCTACTACAGAGTTAGGATAACATAAATTCGAACTACCCAGTAAAACTTGTTAAATTAGTAATATTTTATTTGGAATAGTATACAATAAAAAAAAGTAAGGTTTTTCTTTTTGTTTGTTTTTTTTTTTTTTTGAGAGATTTTTGCTAAAGGATATGTGTACTCGTGGGAGAGACAGAAAGTGATAAACCACTCCACAGTGGGATGGCCATGCCACAATTCCTTTTCCTTCATTCTTTTCTTGGGTTTTTAAGCACTCATGCACAGGCGCCCAGTGTGTTTCAAGCTGCCAGATTCAGGACTTGAACCATGGCCAGGCACATGACAGTCCAGCACCTTAACTACTATGCCACCTGCTGGCTCCAAAACACAAGTTTTGTTTTGTTTTTAAGAATTATTTATTTAATTTTATTCACTATCATTATTCTTCAATTTGACCAAAGGGAGACAGAGAGAGAGAGAGAAGGAAAGTGAGAAAGCAAGCCACCAGGTTCGGGACTCAAACCGCATGTGGGAGTCCAGCACCTAAACCATCATGCCACCTGTTGGCCCCAAAACATAAGTTCTTAATGAACTATTTCTTAATTATTGCTTGATGAAGATTTAGGAGAGAAAAAAAAAAACAAGGATAAGTTTTACCATGACCTGACACTGTAATTGTGTATTCTTTCATCAAAATAGTAGCATTTTGTCACTCAAGTGTTCTCTTGTCCTCACCACCATATATTCTACTGACAAACTTTCTAAATGCATACATATATTGAGCCATACTGCTTCCCTTGCTAACACTAGCTAGAATGAACCCTATTTTATCTTGTGATCATTTTAGGAAATAATGAGAAAATAAATTACTTAGGATTATGTTTAAATAACTATGATAATAATAGGAATGATATATGTCCTCTTCTAATTTTATCTTCACATTTGAAGCCAGGGCAAGGTGACTAGAACAGTCGGGCTTATAATTTGTTTTGTTTCCTCTTGCAAATCTTAGTATACAAATGGCTTGTGTCTTAAGGTGTGTGAATAGTATAAAGAAATATAACTATTTTACAAAAGGCTATTAATTTCAGTTAAATATTAGGATAATGTCTCCAAATTCAGAGTCTAAATGAGCATTAAAGAAAAAATTTTAGACATTTTCAACTAGACAGGAAAAATGCAGTTTAAAGAATTGAGGCAATAATCTTAACTTTCATTTTCATTTCCATTAAAATAAGAGTAGGTTTTATTAGTGGAAATCAGGTAAATCAGCTAAAGTTTGTATAAAATTAAAATGCTAATTTACTGGCATACTGCACTGAACAAATCATATCTAACATCATATTTTTGGAACAATTTCACTTTATTCTCTAAGTCAAAGGACAGTTCTGAATGTAGACATAATCTATGCTAGTCCAAATTTCAAAACATCTTGGAAAAGCCCTTCAAGCAACCACATTTTTGTCAGTCAGGAAGAAGTTGTCATCAGCCTACCACACAGGGCTAGACTTCTCCAAACCTTTCTATGCAGAAGCCAGAAGCACACATGATTTCAAACATCACTGCCTTGGTTACTGTCAGTACATGAGTATGTCTTCCAAAAAATAGCCAGCTTCCTCTTCCACAGAACTACAATGCAGGTCTGCGAGTCAGCTCTGAAATTCCCTGATCCCAGTCAAACTTAATGAGAAACATTTTTTTTTTTAAGAGAGATTTTTGTTATAGGGTATGTGTGATTGCCAGAAGACAGAGAGAGACAGAAATTGAGAAATCACTCCCAAGAAGGGATGGCCATGCCACAATCCCTTCTCCATTCTCCTCTTGGGATCTTGGGCATGCATGCACTTGCAACCGACCTGCATGAGTTTTAAGCTGCTGGGTCTGGGACACGAACTGTGGTCGACTATATGGGAGTCCAGCAACATAACCATTATGCCATCTGCTGGTCATGAGACGTTTCTTGTTTTATTTACAAGAAGCTTGACATCTAACGGCTTATAGATTATTAAAAATATTTGAGAATTAGTGTCAGGATTAATTCCTTTGTTTTCTAAATGAACGGTGTATTTGCGCAGTGTTTCCAAACTATCCCACTGTTTTATAGAACATGCACATGTAATGATGTATTTTTCATATATAATTTGTGCTCTCTCTGTATAGAGACTTAAACATTCAAAAGTATTTTCTTGTTTCCTTTTAAAGATCAACACACCACACACATACACACATACGTGTATTATCATTTGCTCTACTATGCTTCAATTCCACTATATGAACACAGCTCAGAAAGCATCAATTACGTAGTTTGTGATGCTGTAACATCAAAAACAAAATATTTTAAAAATTCACCTCAAGCCCCAAAGAAAATACAAGAAACTCTGATTGAACTAAGTTACTTTACAGACCCGGAAATTTAAGTACGTCATTCCCAAAGTGAAAGGTTCTGACAGACAGGCCCTCGGGTGCAGCTGACATATGAGATACCTACCGTCTTGCTGAGGTAGCTTGTGCTGGCGTTCATGCACTGTAGCCCCTCACTGTTGCAGCAGCCCCCACATCTGTAGACGGACACACATGGAGGTTTAAAGAAGGTGTTTGTTGCTGCTCCAAACTCCTTCCCCACATCTATACACACCTCACGTGGCATGCATTGAGTCTTTCTCCACTCATTATCAATACCTGTCGAGTCATAGGGAAGTCCATAAGTTATATAGAAACCACCAAGGGGGAAAAAGCCCACAGCAGTTGGAAGTCACTCACATCTCATTTCAGATTTTAAGATTTAAGTATAGTATCTAAATTTCAAGGAACAGTACAAAGGATCCTGAACTGCCCTGTGAGTAGCAATGTGATATGATATTTAACAGAGAAGCTAAGGATATTTTCTACAATAAAATAACTCATTTCTGTAGCCATGTAACCAGCTAAATTAGGATTATGCTTTCTTAAAATTACACCAATATCCTATAGCACTTGTGTTTGGTTTTCCTTGTTTAAGAAAATAGGAATTTAATAAGGATGTTTACAAGATGTGCAGAGAGAGAGTCATGCTCATTAGCTATATAGCATGTACTATTTCTGTGGTCTCAAAACAAATGTAAACAATATGATTTCATTTTTCTTTTGAAACTGAAATGTATATGAGACTATGGCTACAGTTTTGGACTTAATTTAAAAATAATTTTCAGGCAGCATTTTGCCAACTACGGGTAATGTCATGGCAGTAGCTACATGAAATGCAAAGTTATTTTCCAACAGCTGGGACTTGTATCATGAACTAACATTTTTCAGGAAAGCCAAACTTTCCTATTCCTTCTTGCTCTCTCTTTGAATTCTATCTCAAAGTGGCTTATTTATAATACTGTTGAATCTTTAAATACTGCATTACAAATGGTATGCGTCCCAAGTGTTCTAGTTTATCTTTTTCATATTTTCCCTAAAATACCAGACAAATAATTGGTTCAAAAAGGACCAACTATTGGTTACTGAACCATGAAGCAATTTTGCTTGTTTGGTTCTCAAAATAATTTACAGGAATCATACCTTTATAGTGGTTAAGAGCTAACAATCAAAGGGACTTACTTTTTAAAGTTAGTCTGTCAATTTATACTGTGACATTTTATGGAACATTATAATCTTTTGGTGAAGCTTTACACTACATATTACATTGGCTCCTAACCCTGCTCACTCAGAAGAAGCAGGGGAACAGCTAGTATTTGAAAGGTGTTGTTTTTTTTTTTTTTTTTTTTGAGATAAATGAAGCATTTCTAAATCCAAATCAGAAAGAAAATTTATGTACAATTATTTTGTAAGATACAGAATGTTTAAAGGATTGAAGTGATACAGCATGTAAAACATAGCTATGTTTTTAACATTTTACATATCACCTCAATTTTTAAAATGTGCATTTATTTGCATGTGCTTTTCTATCTTGGTATAATATTTCAAGAATCATCTTAATACTACAAGTGAACTCATGAAATGCTGCACTTTGAAAATAATTCTTTACTTTCTACTTTCCTTATTTTCAGCCCTCTAGGTATATTCAGTGGTACCAATGCTGAAATTAAAGGACCAGGTCATGACTTTTGCTGGCTTGATATAGGCGGCTTATACATGTTCTTTTCTGTACTTACTTTTCAAGATCTCTGCATTATAGTGTGCTGCAGCAAATTTTATAGTCTCCTCTGTCCTTGTATTGGGGTTGGGCTGTTCTCTGTTATGTTGCCAGCCTCCTTTCCTTAGCTGGCACTTGTACATTTTCCAATATTCTGGGTAGAGTACAGTCATCAGTTCATCTACACTGGACACAGATCGCAACTGCTCCTCCAGATCTTTGCCTGCATAAGCCTGTCCAAAAAACAACAACGACAAAATAATACAAGATAAATGACTTACCAGACTGAGGGATTTGGAAACAGATACACTAAAAAACCTTTAGGTTTAATGCAATGTATCAGTAGTTCCCAACCCTCCCAGCACCAGGCACCAGTCTTGTGGACGACAACTTGCACTACATCCACCATGCACCCTGTTTCCACCACTACTACATCGCAATATTCACCGAATCAATCACACAGCAACAGAGATCGTGCTCCCTTGAGAATCCAATACCACCACTGATCCAATGAGCCCAGGTGGCAAAGCCAGTGAAGGGGATGGGGTAGCTGCAAACACAGACGAGGTTGGCTGATGACACCAGTCCACTACTTGGTCCCCAACACGCCATGGACCAGCCCAGGGATTGGGAACCTCTGCTATATATGCTATTTCCCCCAATTTAATTAGTAATCACTCCTAAATTATTTAACTCTTCTTTGTAAATATTATTATATATAAATTAAAATCTATATGCGGTTTTGAGAACAAACATCTAGTGATAGATAATTTTAAGGTCGTTTGTTTTATTTATAGTTCTTTTACATAACTTGTTAATTTATAAGTTCAAAAATGTATTCAAGTTTTTATTACCCATATATATGTATATGTATAAATTATACTAAAATTCATTCTAGTGCTTTGCATTTTTAGTTTTCAGTATAATAAAATAGAACTAAGCACAATCCTTGAAATTAGAAACCTTAATTTTGTTGGATCTATCTTAGAATAAATAATAACAGGAAGAATAGGATTTCCACAACTGTGTCATAGTAAGGTTTATATTATGGCAAATCCAAAATTACAAAATATCAAAAAAATGTGATCATGATTGGTCTTGCTATGAAAAAGTCATGAAATAATTCAGAGAACATCAAATCTGCTTATATAGAGTTAATTGTGTGTATAAGTATATACAAGTAAGTAGAACATTCCAAAGTATAGTCAAATAGTTACTATATCTAAGAAAAAGTACAACATTCTTTTCTAAATTATATTTTTAAGTTAGGGAAATGAAACTTTTTTAGCTTTATGGGCAAAGTGAAATATAACATCAACTATTTATATTGTCATGATCATCCCAGATTTTATATCTAAATACATATGAAGGGACTTTAAAAAGAGTGTGGAAAAATGGCATTGAAGTACAAGTTTATTTTGATGCAAAATATTTCTAAAATCCATGCATAGTTGCTTTTTTAAGAGGCATTTTCCATAGTTTTTGAGGACTCTCATAAGTAAACTTGTACTTTGGACATTGGTTCTCAAAGTTTAGTGAGCAGAGAAATCAACCAGAGAACAGGTAAAAGTGTAGGAAATGTCTCTCCCACCTTCCCATGGATTCACAGATGGGAAATAAAGTCTACATTTTCTGTTTAAAAAATACTTTTTTCTTTCTTTCTCCCACAGATAAGACAGAAAGAGAGAGAGAGAGATAGGCACCCCCAATAGGGTCCTAACATCATGATCCTCCCTCCCCCCACCCTCTGCCCTCAGCCAGCCCAAGATCGTGAGCATGTGCATGTCTGACATGTTCAGGGAGATACACAGACACAAACTAGGAGGCTTCCCATGTGGGGCAGCTTTGCAGAGCACTGTGTTACCACAGTAGTCTGGCCCCAAGTGTCTACATTTATTCCAACAAGTTACAATTTTCTCTTTCTAATTTTTGAAATACAAAATCAACATTTTTTCTTAAAAAACTATAATAACATTTACTTGAAAGTCTTCCTCATGACTTCTTTTAAGAATTCAAATTATGCTGACATACATAATTTTTATACTGTACTTTAAGAAGTACAGTCTAGGGGGCCAGCAGGTGGCATGGTGGTTAAGGGCGCTAGACTCCCACATGGCCAGCTGCAGTTTGAGTCCTGGGTCTGGGGGTTTGCTTTCTCACTTTCCCTCTCTCTTGCTGTCACTCTTACTCTGTCCCTCTCTGGTCAAATTAAATAAATAAATAAAAGTTAAATAAAATAATTCTTTGAAAAAAGATAAACAGTCTAATATCATTTTCATACATTATTATAGTTTACTAAAATAGGCAGGAAATTATAGAATATGTTTCTTCCTATTAGATAATGACATTGGTTATGAATGCTGAGTTACACATTTCTCCATCTTCCAGTATGTAAACATATTTTCACTCTCTCAATGGTGTTTCATGATGAATGAAAATGCTTAACATTAATGACGTTAAGAATTAATTAATTAACATTAATGGCTGAATGTTTCTTCATGGTTAGTGCATTTGGTGGTGGTTCTTTTTTTTTTTTTTTTTTTTTTGAAGTTTTTTTTTTTTTTTTTTTTTTTTGAGAAGTTTTTGCTATAGGGCGCATGCACTTCCCAGGAAGACAGAGAGAGACAGAGAGACAGAAAGCAAGAAATCACCCCCGGGGGGGATGGCCACGCCACAATCCCTTCTCCTCCATTCTCCTCTCAGAATCTTAGGCACGCACGCACACTTGCCCTGCATGAGTTTAGGCCACCGGGTAGGGGATGCAAACTGTGGTAGACTACATGGGAGTCCAGTGACATAGCCATTATGCTCAATGCTGGTCCCCAACATTTGGTGGTTCTTTAAAAAAGTCTTTATCTACCTAAAGCCAAGAAAATATTACTTGAGTTATCTTTACAAGTCTTATAATTTTATTTTTCACATATAGATCTGTAATAAACTTAGAATGGATTTTTGAGTATTACGTGATGTAGATGTTAAGATTCTATTTTTTCTCATATCTAATTGATACAGCACCATTTACTGAAATGTCCATCCATTAGCTATAGCATTGAACAAACCCATTCACTGTGAATCACATGGCTTTGAATGCTGGGTCTTTTTCTGGACCTCTGAATTTTGTTTGGTATCTTTGTCTACCTTTATGGAGGTACCACGCTTAAAAATCCTTCCAGTTAATCTCAATCAAAGTAAGAGATGTCATGAGAACTAAAGTAAATGACAATTGGTAATGAAATCAGAAAGACATCTCTGCTTTCCTCTCCAGATCTGCTATTGCTATTCTTGAAGTTCATGCTTTAATTACCTCATTGTGGAAAATAACAAGTGATACCTAATTGTTCTTCTATCTCTGTTCTCACTCCCAATGCATCTTCTACACAGAGACCACTATTTTAGAAACAACACTCTGGTCTGTTACTTCATTCCTCATATCACATTATATCACCCGGTATCCCCAAAATTAATGGATAAAGCCCATATGCCTTCTGGAGGTCCTAATAAATAATGATGTCCTAAGCATATGGCTCTCCATTTCTAAAATGCAGATAATAAAGTGTTTCTTGATAAGTTGATATGTGTAAATATGATGATATTTGTAAAACATACAGAAAAGAGACCTACCTCTAATAAAATTTTAAAATAAAGAACAAAAGAGGGAAGGTTATGATTCCTTTACTTTTATTGAATGACTATTATATGTCCAAGAATGGTCTAGATTGCTATTTGTAAACAAGTTCTACTCTCTCATGAAGTTGATGAATGAGAAACGATATATATGTTTTAGGAGCTAAGAATGTTAATTATCAGCTCCTTGGATTTATTTATCCCAAAGAATTGCAAATTTTAAGGCATGCCTGTTTTGTGTATTTCAATGAATTCCAGATGATTTTCTTGTTGCTTGTGTGCTTCTGTGTCTAAAAGAATCCAGATTAGTAACTAAAGTGGCAGGGCAAGGAATTTGTTGCTATGAAACAATGTTGGGTAAAACAAAGCTGAATTACTTAACCAGAAGTAATATGACTGAAAACACAAAAATTCAGTTTTGCATTTTCACTAACCCTGTCAAATGTCTCTATAATTAAAATTCATTTACGAATGTATTTCAAAGTGGCAAAAACATAAATTATTTTCTTTATAAATTCATTTGGTTATCTACATATATATTTTTTTTGAGAAGTTTTTGCTATAGGGCACGTGCACTTGCCAGAAAGATAGAGAGAGACAGAAAGACAGAAAGTGAGAAATCACCCCCCCCAGGGGGGAATGGCCACGCTGCAATCCCTTCTCCTCCATTCTCCTCTCGGGATCTTGGGCACGCACACACATGCACACACACCCGGCGTGAGTTTTAAGCCGCCAGGTCGGAGACGCAAACCACGGTCGACTACATGGGAGTCCAGTGACATAGCCATTATGCTAACTGCTGGTCCTTCTACTTACATTCTGATACTGGGTTTAGACCACACTGGTGATGGAAGGTGTGTGTGTGTGTGTGTGTGCATGTGTATGTGTCTGTCTGATATGTGGTAGTAGGTGGATGGAGTGTACTGAGTATACACATTCACTAAATAAGCAAGCTGTAAAAATGACTAAAGATTGTTACTATAGGTAGTTCATGATTAAGAATTTGGAAAGTTTTTCTGAGATCATATCACTCAGCTTTCGGGAAACCACTTACTTTAGGGAAATCAGACACTCCCTTACCAAGCCAAGTAGGTATTCCTAAATCCTTGCCTATTTACTTTAGGAACACCTTTGCTCAACCCATTGTCCACTCTCAGGGGTTTTAGGGAAATATGCCATAATGCATTTCTCATTTGTATGCTATTCAAGCATCTAACTTAACAATGCTTTCTTTATGCAGTTACCTTTTTATATTTCAGCAGGCATTTTTGCAAATAATATTACTGGTAGGATGAATGCTAAGGAAGAAATATTTCTTGTGAGAAGAAGATTCATGGTGCAGTGGTGACGTGTTGCTCAAGAGAAGCTAGATCCCATGTGGTGAATCCCTGGCTCAGTGAGTCAGTCAGCACGAATGCTCATGACCTAATGGAATGAAATAATGGAATTGTGGCATGACCAGACCTTGTGAGGTGCTCATTCCTTTCTTTCTCTCACGTCCATGTGCATAATGTCACGAATAAAGAAAAAATATATATAAGAAGCTGAAATTTTAAAAATATGCCGATGGCTTGAGGTAACAAGTATTTGGTGCAAATATCCTGGTTCT